CTGAATCTGAAAGAATATAAGCCCCTACCTCCATTCCTATCAAGACTGAAGTGTACGAAGCGCAAAAGAGGGGAAGAGGATATCATGGAAATTGTTTGCAAAGTTGAGGTAAATCTTCCACTTTTGGATATTATCCAACATATTCCTCGCTATGCTAAGTTCCTTATAAATTTTATGTGCTTCTAAGAAAAAAATGAAATTTAATGAAACTATGAAAGCTGGAAAAAATATATCCTCTATTTTACAAAAAAAGGTTTGCCTCCATAGTGCAAGGATCTGGGGATTTTCTCAGCTCCTTGTAGATTTGGGAACCTTGATTTTCCAAAATCCATGTTTGATCTAGGAGCTTCAGTGAATGTCATTCCCTATTATGCTTTTGAAAAATTAAAAATGGGAACTTTACGAAAGACCGGGACAATTATACAGTTGGCTGACCACTCGACGGTACACCCAAAAGGTGTACTGGAGGATGTTCTTGTCCAAGTAGATAATTTTATTTTTCCTGCTGATTTTTACATTTTGGACATGGGAAACTTGGACACTTTAGATACAAACTCTATTGTTTGGGAATGCCTTTTATGTAAAATCCAAAAACGAAAATTGATGCTTTTAATGGAATGATTGCAATGGAGTTTGATGAGGAAGTGGTTAAATTTAAAATTAATGATGATAATGTTCCTTCTGAAAATATTTCTGTCATTTATATGGCTACCGGTAGTCCTTTATCTGAGGGTTGCTATGGGTTTTCCAATGTCTCTGTGAAAGAAAATTTTGCAGATAGGAATTTATCATACACATTGGAAGAGCTAACAATAAATAAGCATAGGGAGGTCAAGGAGGAGTATCTGATTCCTATTGTAGAGAAATCTAGATAAACAATTGAAAAAAAATAAACTTTTGGAAGAAGAATAGGAGAAGCTAGAATCTGAGGAGAAATCATGAGAGATGGAAAAAGAAAAGGTGGAAAATGTGATTTCAGATACGAATATGAAAAGAAGAAAGTTTGAAGAAAAGAAGAAGAAGACTTCTAGGAAGGATAAGAGATCAGAAAGAGAAAGAAGTCTAATCAACTAAAAGACTTATCTAATCACTATTTGGAGTCTTTCTAGTTTGTTGAACAAGTTCCAGATCCACCCATATTGCCATATTTTAAGGGATCTGGAGTCGCAAGAAAAAGAGTTGAGCTTCAAAGAAGTCCCAACCACACTAGTTAGTTAATCTAGTTGGGCAAAGTCGAACCAACAACTTTAAAAATGGGCAGCTTTTCGGGACGGAACCCGATGAGTAGATTTTAGTTTTTACGCTTTCAATAAAAAGATGGTCGCAGTTCCAAGCAAGCCTGGGGAAACAAGAGGATCGACAGAGTTGCATAATTTCAGATTTTTCATCACATCTTCATCAAAATCAGATTTACGCGCTTTTATCAGGTACATTCTTTCCTAGCTGCACATTTTTGTTTTTATTTGTTTTATTAAATTGTTCATTCCTCTCTAAACATTGAGGACAATGCATCATTTTAAGCTTGGGGAGAGGGTTAGTGTAAAAAATTTGCATTTTTGTTAAAAATTTAAAATTTTCAGTTTTTCTTTTAAATTTTCTAAATTTATTTTTCTTTTTTCATTTTATTCTATTGCATTTGCACATAAAAATTCGAAAATCCAAAAAATATTTTATTTTCTGTTTTTTATTTTTCTACATTTATAAAAAAATAAAAAAAAATAAAAAAAACCAAAAAGATTTTATTTATATTTATTTTTAGTTTTGCATTTTAAATTCTTACAAATCTTCTAGAAAAATCTTTCAAAACAATTGAAATATTTTACATGAGATGATATCTTTTTACATTCTATAGCTCTGTTAAGATGAAGTGTGATGGTTACCGAAAATAACAGTCTCATTACAATCAATTTTAAGATTTATCTTTTCAAGTGCTTTAAATGTTTTCAATATGAATCAACATATGAGCCAGATAATTTTTACAATAGAAGTGTGGGATGGAAAAACGAACAATATTTTGAAAATAATTTCCTTAAATACCTTAAAAAGAACCTAGATTGGATAACTCTTATCATTCCTTGAAGTACTTAACCCTATAGTTTCTGCGCCTTTTGAGGTTAGGAGGGAAATCTTGTTATACCCACAATTTGTTATCATTTTTGAAGTATTGAACATATGGTGGGCCTCAAAGTAAAATTTGCGCCCAGTCTATATATATATATATATATATATATATATATATATATATATATATATACATACATACATATATACATATATATATATATATACACACACACACACACACATATATATATATATATATATATATATGTTAGAAATGGTACATCAAGCAACTTGAAGAAATCAACAATTCAAAGTTAAATCCAAATCAAGTTCAAGTCGAAATCAAAAAACAAGCAAGTTAAATCTAAAGAGTTGATCAAGACAAAGAAGATCCGTAGTATAATGAGATTGATCACTCGATAGTGGAATCATATGGGTAAGCTTGAATTTTTTGTCCATAATAGAGCTTACCGTGTTTACTCGACGAGTTCGGAAGAAAAACCGAGGGGTTGGTCAAGCTAAGTTTTTATAAACGAATTTTCATGAAATGATTTTTAAAAATACACTGTTTCACAAATTTAATTTGGCATAAAAATTATTTACTCAAGCTTGGTTTAACTTATTTAATATGAAAACTGAAACGTTAATATAAACTATTGAGACTGTTGTCTAGGTAGTGATTTCATTGGAGCTGTCTCGTTGTGAAATCTAATAATGTGACAAAAAAAAAGGGTGAGTTAATATAGTTTAAGTTTTCTTTTTATTTTAATATAAATTCTTTTTAGGCCGTCTACTTCTTTCCATTTGTTTATAATGTTTTAATCTTTTTGTTATATGAGAGCAAATAAGGTTTAAGCTTGGGGAGATTTTTTAGATGTTATTTTATGCATCTTTTATGGTAGTTTTCATTATCATTTTAGCATCATATTTTGTACATTTTCATGTCATTTATTTAAATAATGTTCATCTCATGTATTTCGTTAGAATTCTCGTACTGCTTATGTTCTTATGTCAATTTCAGATAGCTCGAGTGGAGAAGTGCTTTGGGAGTAGTTGGATGCACGTTTGGAGCTTAAAATGGAGCTCGGAACATATGAAGGATTTTGAGAAATGCTTGGAAGATGTTGTGGTCAAGAAACATTCGATTGAATTGATCACACGAAGATAGAATCTACAATCTAAAGTTATAGGATTTTGATGGCAGCTTTGACCCCTATCAGTAGTTTGACCATATCTCATGAACCGTAACTTTGATTGATGTGATTCAAAATGTCTGAAAAGTAGACGAAATTTCATACGTCATAGGAAAAACATGCGATCAAAAATCTTATCCATGCGATCACATGGAGCCTTTATGCGATTGAAACTTTGATTGCAACTTGTTTTCGAGGTTTTTTAGTGCCAAAAATTCATCCGGAAGAAGAAAATGAAAATATGTGATCGCAACGTATCTACATGCGATCGCAGCTTCCCTCTATGTGATCACAAGTCTGCCAAAAAGTGTCGAAATAGCATCCTACTTCATTAAAAAGTCCCTTGACGTGTTTTCTCAAAACACATGCTCATCACTTTGAAACATGTGATGGCATGCTCATTAGTTTTGCTGCTAGACGTATAAGTAGACCCTCATAACCTTCCAGTAACCTAAGTTGGCGATTCCAGAGGTACCATACGTTGAAAATATGATTTTGGATGCGTTTCTTGTATGATTTCAATGATTTCTGAAGATCTGAAAACCGTGGATCATCTCCTTCAAGTAGATTAGTAAGATTAGTTGTTTGATGTCTCTTTTAATTTGTTTTTATTGGATTTTAGCCATGTCTGGATAAAACCTTAGTTTTCAGTTTTGCAAAGAGAAGTACTTTTCATGTGATTGATCTTTAGATCTGGTTATTGATTTGTGTGTCTATCTAGATTCTTCATTTTTGTTCTTAATGAATGTTTGGTTTTAAATTCTTGTTAGTCTGATCACCTAGCTAGGGTTTTATCATTCTAGTTAATTAGTTAATAGAATCTGTAATTGTTCTTGTCAACTGGTTAAAGTACCAAGTATCTTATTAGTTCCATTTTGAGATTTAACTCTAGTATAAACCAAAAAAATCATATATTTATGCTTCCGAGCTTGTTAAAAGTGTTGGGTATTGATGGGAATTTTATAAAGAACTTAATGCAATTTTTCTGATCTTAATTAAGAGCTTGTTTGATTAGACAGTAAAAAGTTAGAGTTGATTGAAGAGCTTGTATTGGTTAACAAAATAAGGTAAAAGAGATTATACTAGAGCTTGTTGGTTTTTCTTAGTACCAACTTAGATAGAACGCATCTCAATTAATCAGATCTAGGTTAGTTGCATGATTAGGAAAGTCGTAGCAGAACTGAAACCATTTTAATTATTGATTTTCATTTAATTTAATATCACTGCAATTTTAGTTTTTAGTTTAATTCAAAATCCCCCTTTTATATTCTGATTCTTGACTAGATGTGCCTCATGCAAAAAGGCATTTACCATTAGACTGTGTCCCAGAGGATTCGACCTTGTTTCCCTGTGCTATATTTTTAGTCCAACCAACAGTGATAATTTACTTGTTTAATACGCGCATGACAACATGTTAACACATACCTTCAACTAAAACTACCAACTTAACCCTTTAGGTCAGACACCTCCACTAAGGTGAGTATCGTACATAAGCCATACCATAAATAAACCTTGAACGCGCTCCTATATTATTTATGCTCGGGCCGGTGCACATCCAACCTTGAGCAAGGAGTTTGACAAGCTACTACGATTGAAAGTTTTAGAAGTTGAAGAATGTTCTCAAGATTCGTGGCAGATACCTAGTACCGTAGAACCTTTATGACAACCTTAAAAATACTTATGCTATTTTAATACATTTAAAAACATATTAACACACCTAAAACCCTTTTATGTAGTTGGCAGATGTACCCGATGACTAGCCAACATGGATGTAGATTGCAGATCCCGACGAGTTACATGAGGTTCCGATACATCTAACTGGGGATCCATATTTCCCATAAGATGCTCTAGTCAGCCCTGCAGACCTCTCAGAAGAGAAGGACTCGTCGAAGAACGAAGAGGACAAAGACATAAAGGAGATTCTAGACTCTGATGATGAGGGAATACTACAGGATGTCGAGGAGATTGAGGATGATGGCCCTATCGAGGAGGGCCTTACTGATGAGGAGCATGCGCCTCCTAACCCACCATCCTCACTGCCCAGACTGCACTACCACCATATCTCCTTAATGGCATGGGTACTGCCCTGATGAGGACCCCGAGGATTATTTTTCATCCTATTTACCACTTGAACCCTACGACACATGTTTCCTGACCCACTTGTGGTCATCCGGGAAAATAGACCATGCCCCACGAGCCAGTTTGGTTCCCATACCTCCTATGAAAGAAGAGGATTACTAACTTTTTGCCATGATTTGATGTTGGCGAGTCTTCATAGGAACTACTCAAGGATGAACCTGAGAATGATCTGATACCACGCCTTATGTCTCAAACCAATCAACTATCGGATAGAGTCAGATCCCTAGAGAGTTATGTCAGAGATTCAGGCTCTACTTCACTAGGGCGACGAGTTGAAAGACTCCAGGAAGAGAAGAAGGGTGATGTTGAGGCTATCCAGAACTTGTATCATCGCATAGGTGTTGAGCACACCGAGTATGAGTGCTCACTATAGAGCACTAGACTACAGGTCTCAGATCGTCGAGGTCCGAATAGTTGCGGCTGAGAACCAGGTGATTGTTACCGTACAAGAGAGATGTTATATCCTAGACTAGTTTAAGGAATTTGTCCTCTATGTGATGTCAAATTTTGGGAGATAGATGCTTCATCTAGGGAGTCTTGTGCCCTAGGGTAAGGTGAGAACTTTTGAGGAATAGCTTTCATTTTGCAAATGTTTATCACTGCCTTATTTGTATTTGATCTTTTGTAAAGCTTTTCCATTTCTAGCCTTACATGGTTGATACTTTTGTAAGAAAAAACAAGCAGTTCTAATGAGAATATTTCAGTATTTTATTAAATGTTTTCACTTATTATGTATTGCTTGCAACACACTATATCAGGTAAAACCTTGATTTTATGACATGGAAATCGGTAGGATTTCAGGAAAAGCAAATTGTATGTATACAAAATGCATGCATAGTTTTTATAACTACATAGTGTAAAATAACATAACATATCCATCTAAAACATATTAGGACAGCGCCTCCACGAAAAAGTCCACGAGTCCATCCACCACCAAATCCCCAAGGCAACCGAAGGAGTGCTCTAGAAGTAACTCAAGCATTGGTAGAAACTCTGAACCATGGAGGAGCTCCAAGTGCAACAAATGCAAACCCACCATTTCAGATGGATCCTACTCTAACGCAGACCCTGTTTGTGCAAGAGATTGCTATAGCCCTAGCCACCTATGAGGCTGCCAGAAATGATAACATTGGGAACAATAGAAATGGTGGGGGCACTCCAGTCAATAATCAAAACCACCCTAGAACTTGTTCATACAAAGATTTCATGGGTTGTAAACCCCGATCCTTTTATGGTATGGAAGCAGTTGTTGGTCTATCCCGCTGGATAGAAAAGATGGAGGCGGTATTTCACTTCAGTTCTTGCCCTAATGACTATCGGGTCAAGTACGCTACGTGCATACTAATGGACTCCACCTTAATTTGGTGGAATAACCATACCTAGTCTATGGGAATCAATGAAGCTTATGCCATGGGTTGGGAACCCCCGAAACAGATGATGATCAAAGAGTACTACCCATGACAGGAAGTCCAGGCTCTAGAACAGGAACTTTGGAATCTAACCATGCAAGGACTAGACGTGGCTGCCTACACCTCCCGATTCAATTATCTTGCTACCCCGGAAGACAAAAAGATGGAGAGATACATTTGGGGACTACCATCACCATTCCAAGGTCTGGTTACTTCATCCATACCCTCCACCTTTGATAATGTCAAACAAATAGACTATTAGTTAACTGAGCAATGTATCCATCGAGATACCATGGTCCTATCAAAAGAAAAGAACCAAATTGGGAGTACAAAGAGGAAGTTCCATGTAAAGCCGAAAGGGAACTTCAAGAATCGCAAGCCTAATCCTAAAAAAGTAACTGTGTATGCTGCAATCACCAACACTCCTAATCCAGCAAAGCCCTACTCTGGAACTCTACCTCACTATACCAAGTGCAACTACTATCATGTTGGAAATTGCATGACCTGCATCAACTGCAACTTAAGGGGTCACACCGCTAGGTTTTGCATAAAGGCCCCGAACAACACAACACCACCTACTGCTGCAAGAGGAAATCGAAAACTGTTTTGAATGTAACCAACCAGGGAATTTCAAGAAAGACTACCCTAACCTGAAGAATCAGGGTGGTAAAGGGAGGGAATTCATGATAGCTGTGGGAGATAATTGCCAGGAGCCAACTGTGGTTACTGGTACGTATGCTATCAACAATATTTATGCTTCTGTATTATTTGGCACTAGTGTCGATAGAAGCTTTATTTCCCATAAGTTTAGGAGAATGATAAATCATAAATTATACAAACTTAATGAAGCTTACATGATAGAAGTAGAAAATTGTCAAATAGAAAACGCCTTAGAAATACTCACCAATTGTCTTCTCACCCTAAATAATCATGTCCTCCATGTTAACTTACACCCTGTTCTCGAGTTCAACTTAACGAGAGAAAAAAATGAAGTGGATGGAAGTGAGAGGAAAGTAAAAGAAATTAGTGTTCCCGATTTTCATTAAAGGAAGGAAGTGGAATGATCACTTTCCCTTCTAACTTTCCTTCCGATTTGGGCGAGTTTGGAGAGAAAGAATAAAATGTTTAACTTTCCTTTCACTTCTCTCCGACTCGGGAACACAAATGACAAATTTATTTTCCTTTCCTTTCTCTTCTTTTCTATCCTACTTTGTTTTCTCTTCTTTTCTTTTTCTTTTCTAAAACTCAGGAACAAGGTGTTAATGCCCATGACCATTGGAAGTTTTTATGTCATTATCGAAATGGATTGGTTATCAACCCAACGAGTAGAGATTCTATGTTATGAAAAGGTCGTATGGTTACCTTTACCAAACGATGAAGCCCTTGTGATTTATAGAGTCAAGGAAAGGAAGAACCTAAGATTCATCACTTGCATGAAGGAAAGGAAGTATTTGCAGAAGAGATGCTTTATTTTCTTAGCCTACATGGTGGATAGGTAAGACAAGGGTAAATACATAGATCTAGGTAAACTTATGTATACTATACCTATACGGCTATCCTTTATCTTATGCAAATAGAAAATTACGGGATAGCTATGCCCCAGTCAAAAATACATTTTTATGGATATGTACTAAGCTAGCTCTTTAGACTAAGGCATATAAAAAAAACTGGGTTCAATATAGGATGTCTTTGTTGTTTACTGTTTACTTTACCTTTACCCAGCTTAAAGAACTGTGCCATAATCTCATAAGAACTGCTATTTGTAGATCTTCTATAGCTTCGAGCCCTTTATTTCATTATCAACCAGCTTAGAGGGTGATCGTTGGCCACAAACTTGCAAGAGTCAGCTAGTTGTTCATATTCAAGCATTTGTTCCCCACTTTCGAGCTAGTTGAATCAGTACTTATTGTTATACTGTTCATGTCCCTCGGAGCCACTTAACTCGTTTTCAAGAAGAAAAATAATGCTTCCAATTAATAAAATGAAAGGAAAACTTTGAAAGATGTTATGGAGTGTTTCAAATCAGTGTTGGAACTGCTACAATTGCTTTAGCTAGAGCAGCAGTCGGAATTGGAAAGATATTTAGTTTGTTGATCCATTAAGTAGCATGGAGTCTGGAATTAGATACTAAATTGTTTGGTTATGCCATTTTAGGCTTTGCTCTCATGGAATCCATTGCCTTGTTTGCTCTTATGTTGGTTAATGCCTAACCACCTTCAAGAAGGCAAATAAGTAAACTTAATAAACTTTTCCATTATTCGTAGCAACAGTGGACGAATCGAGACAAGAAAAATACAGGTAGGAATATGCTTATCTACTTGCCTTTCAACCTCAGAGCATTCAGTTTAGGTACCGCAGCGGTCGACAACTTGGTTGGGACAAATCTTCACTCGTTATCCTTCTTCAAACCTTTTCGTATGTATTGCCCCCTAACTATAGATCAGATCCAACAGACAAGAAAGAAAATTTTTCACTCCTGCTAAGTCGTCAGAATTATCCACCAAGGGATTTGTGGAATTTCGGTAGATTGCGTCAGGGGAAATCTACCAAAGCTAGGTAGATAGATATACTCCTTTCCTGATGCTAAGAGAGAGCAAGAAAGATAAAAAAATTTGTTTTTGAACTAGCGCCCCCTTTTGGGTATGCATGTACTAAGAGTCCTCTCACTACCAACCAGCAAACATCATACGGTTCGGTCTTGCTGGTATCAACAACAATAAAAACTACCAAATGGAAATAGCAACTAACTATAGCTCTTGGTGGGCCCAGACAATATCCTAGGCATAGGGGAGATCGGAGCAACATGTAACGCCTAGACAATGTTTTTCTTCCTGGGTTGCAGTAAGTAGATCAAGAGGTCGTTTCGCCCCTTGTCCCCGAATATGGGTAATATATTCTCTTACAATGTTGCTCCAATCTAACCTAGCTGGTGAGCGATCCCAGTTTGCGACAGAGAACAAGACAGCAAGCGAGCATACCTTTGTTCACCTCTTCTCCACCAAGCACATAAATTTAAGGATAACTGTAGGATGGTGGCTACCTAAGGAAACTTCGATCAATCCCCCATCCCCCCCCCCCCGGCTGGGAGGCATCCTCATCCCGATCACAAGGAGGGGTTCACTATGATGGGGGGTACTTCATTTTTTCCCTTCCGGAAAGAATGAAATGCATAGGGGACCATCCTTTTGTTGCGGAATGCTCCTCAGATTTACAGATTCACGGGGAGCCTCAGGCCCTACTTAGTAGACTGGCAATGACAAAGGCTTGCAATACTAGTAGAGCCTTTTGAATTATCCATGTCCTCCTCTCTAACTCTCATCTGGTGATACCCTGATCTCAAGTTGGTCTTAAAGAACCAATATGTGCCCTGCAACCGATCGAAGAGGCCATCAATCCACAAAAGGTGATAACGGTTCTTCACCATCAATTTGTTCAACTCCCTATAATAAATGCACATCCAGTGTGAACCATCCTTCTTCTTGACCAATAAAATAGGTGCTCCCCAAGGCGAACTGATCGGTATGATGAACTGCTTGCCCAACAGCTCCTGGAGCTGAAAGGACAACTAGTGCATCTCAAGCAGTGCTAGTTAGTACGACGCCTTGGAAATTGGGGCCGCACCCAGAACCAAATCAATCCTGAACTCAACCTACCTCTCTGAAGGTACACCAGGAAACTCCTTCGGGAACACATCAACAAAGTCACTAACAACTAGCACAATTGAAACTGAAATCTGCTTCCCAACTCGGGCATCAACGACATAAGCAAGATAACCCATACACCCGTGTTGAATATACTGTCAAGATTTGGAAGTTATACAATAGGATGATCCCAATCTGGTACCCTCTCCATAAATAACCAATTCTCCCCCACATAGGGTTCGAACTACTACCCGCTGACCCTGGCAATCGATCATAGCTTTGAATAACAAGTTAGATAGTTAGTTGAAACTTGTAACAAAGTAAATATAATTGACTTTTGATGATTAAATAATAGTGAAGTATTTATGAGTTTGTTTACTACCTTTTGTCAATTGTTTATTATTGTGTTTCACTTTGCATGTTTTACTTCCCGAATAATTTGATTACTCAAATTCCACAGTCGTTCATACTTTTGGAAATAAGTAGTGAATTAAGATTCTCATCAATTAGATTTTAGATTGTCAAAAGAGTTTTAGACATAACAATGGTATTGCTGCAATGTTCATGAGCACTTTGAAATGGATATTTAAGTATTGGATTAACCCATTCCTATAATTCCTTCATGAAATTTATCACGAATAATTCCGAGATGATAATATCATATAATCTTTAAACGAAGATATATGAGTTGTTGTTTACAAGTCAGTTGTGCATTGACGATGCGTAAACGAATCAGTAACTTGATGTTATAAAACATATTGATGTGCATGATGTGATGAGTAAATGGTTGAAGTCAAAGTTTATTCGTTCCTTTTTCCTTAATGGGAAAAGCGATATCTTTGGGCTACTTGGTGATTTTGTGTTGACTTATAGTGGCGGGCCCGCCCAGGACTAAATTGGTGTGTTCGATTAGAAGTTTTATGTCATTACAAATAAGAAATCGGGAAATAAAGTCTTGGAAAATGACATTGATTATGTTCCATGTCTCATATATGAATGATATCTTGCAGACGGAGGATTATATGATCACTTATCTTAGGACACGTAACTGACTGGGTTAGAGTTCGGCAGCGGCTTTTGGAAGTTACAATTTGCTGATCAATTCAGAAGTTATACTAGCAATTATAGTTATTAGACTAATCCAAGTGGAAGATTGTTGGATTAGTTGTCTAAGCCCATAACTATAATTGGTATATATTTGAATTGATAGTTGCAAAATCCTTTTGCGTTGCCCTCAAACCTAGCAACTAGACAGGATGATTTTAGAGTAAGAGAGGTTGATTTATTATTTGAGTAAAAAATTGAAATAATTGATTTATTAATATATTATGAAAATAATATATTGATTATAAATCATATTGTTTGATTAATAATTAATCAATAATTTATTGGAGTTAATTTTGGGATTAAGTAGATTAATTAAAAGTGTTAGGACTATTTGGTTATTTACTGGAAGTTGAAGAAAGAAGGCCCAAGGACATCACTGGATAAGGCGCACGAAAATCACTTGGGCAAGCCCAAGAGTTTTCGTCCAAGCCTCTTGAATGAAGGGAATGAGCTGCTTGGTCACCAAGCTAAGGAAACTTTGGTTTCTCCCTTAAGCCCTAGCTTTGGCACCAAGCTATCTCAACTATATAAAGGACCTAGCCCTTCACATATTAGGCTACACTCTTATTCTATAAGCCTAGGCTGAAATTTGTCCTCTCCTCCTCTCACTATATTCATCCTCTTGCTAGCTTGGGTGTGATTCCATTAGAGGCACGACAATTGTGGTGCTTGCTTCTAAGATATGAACAAGAAGGGTTTCTTTGTTATTTGCTACAATAACAATAAAGGTATGTTATCTTAAACCCATCTATAGCAAATTTCGATTGTACCTAAGGTTAGTCAGTTCTTGTTGTTCAATACAATATTACATTAATGATGTTATGACTTAGGTCTTTAGGTTACATGTACCCTTAAGATTTAAGGATTTATCCACATTAATACATATAAAACTCATCAGGAGCGACATGTGATGGTTCCATCAAGGATTGGTTTGGTGTTGACATCAAAGAGATGATCAAGAGAGAGAGGATATGTGTAACATTCAGATTCCCATGAAGACTTGAGGAGAATTGTGGATCTTATCAAGGAGAGGTTGTAGATCTAGTGTTTTTCTATCATTAGCATTTGTTTAGAGGTAAAAATCTCTCACCTTGGCCACATATTTCATTAGATCTCATTTTTGGGAGTTTTTAGGGTTTTCTTCCAATCATCTTGTGTCCTTGCATTATTTGAGCATGGTTTGATGTTAGAACCTCAGATCTGGTCTACAGGAGGCCTTGAGAGTCCAAAGATCCAAGCTTTATTGAGCTAGGGGCAGGCTCATGAGCATGTAACATTCCTTTAGAGCTTGTAATGGCATTATGGAGCAAATATGCCATGCATGAACGTAAAGATCGAAACTTTCCATCATTTGAGAGAAATAGCTTTGGAGGAAGGAAACTTTGGAAAGGAACTTGAAGATCAAGAAGGTTGCTTCAAAGGGGAGGTGAAAATCCGGGATCTACTTCAGTTTGTGTTCATCTTGGAGGTAATAAGCTGCTATCTTCCCTCCTTTGCATCTAGATCTACTTTTGTTATGGGATTTAAGGGTTTTATGGTTGTTTGAGACCCAATTCGAGTTTGGGGCCTAGATATGTCATTGCCACTTCAGATCTCATGTTGGGATGGTCTAATATGTCATAAAGAACCAGAAGATGAGTAGTTGGTAAAGTCCTTTTGTCCCTAAACCTAGCCCTAGAGTGTTTTGAGCCTAGATCTCTTTAGTTATATGTAAAGTTTGCAACTTTACGTGAGGATTGAGCTTTGGGAGTATGGATCTATGAGTTGGAGCCCCTGCATGGCTCGAAAAGCCACTGTATGGATTAAGAACTGGTGCGACTCGGCGAGTCACATGGGTGGACTGAGCGAGTTGGATGAAGTTGGGCAGGAACTCGGCGAGTTAGAAGAACAACTCAGCGAGTCTGTTGAAGATTGCCTTGGACTTGGCGAGTCTGTTCTTGGACTCGACGAGTCAAGTCGTGAAACCCCAAACCCTTTCGAGTTAAGACTCGGATCAGTGAGTTGAGTGGGGTCTCAGTGAGTTGGACAGGTCAGGACTCGGAAATTGGTGAACTCGGTGAGTCAGTAGGTAGACTCGGCGATTAAGGTTGACCTTGACCAGGATTTAACTGTGACCAGAGTTGACTTGGTTGACTTTCGGGGGACAGTTAGACTAAGTGTTGCACTGATATGGTAGCTCGGGGAGCTAATGGAGCAGGAGTTCAGAGAGTTGTCGGGCAGCAGCTAGAGGGGTTATCAGCAAGTTCAGCAAGAGCAGGTAAGTTTCCCTTTGTGTGAATGGGTCTAAGGCCACAATGTCGGCCCATGTAGATACGAGTAGGAAGACCCGGGGGTTAGCCCTAGGCATAGTATGCTAGTATGACATTCAAGACGAGGTCCAATGATAGTGGGTGGGTGCCCAAGGAATGGTTTATATGAAAGTTTATACGTGTTGTTTGTGTGATACATGTATGTGCCTAGTAGGGAGGTGAGTGTGGGCGAGGTCCCATATCTCACCAATAGCAGAGTGTGGATGGTGTTCCACATCTCATTAGCAGCAGAACAGGGGCGAGGCCCAAGTTAGGGGAAGAATGAGTGTGGGTTGGGCCCGTATCTCACTATCAGTAAGGGCGTGGACGGTGTTTCATGACGCATCAGTAGCAGGACAAGGGCGGGGTCCAAGATAGGCGAGGCCTCAGGACAGGATTTGTGAGTATATGTTAGCTTATGTGTTGTTATATGCTTATGTGCTATTATATGTTAGCGGGCGGGGCCCAGTGACAGGCGAGGCCTAAGTTAAACAAATATGTATCTGAGCGGGGCTCGAAACCAGGCGAGGCCTGGAGCAGCGGGGCCGTTGTAGCGGGCGAGGCCTGAGGTAGTGGGCGTGGCCCAGTATGTGCAGTATGTGGTTATGCATGGTATGTGGTAGGTTGGGGAACTCACTAAGCTTCGTGCTTACGGTTTTCAGTTTTGGTTTCAGGTACATCTAGTAGCGGAGGGAAGAGCTCGGGGTGATCGCATGGCACACACCGTAGATTAGACAGCGTAGGAATGTTTTACTCTGATAATGAACATGTATTTTGGAAATTAATACTCTGGTTATGATATGGATTGATAATTATGTTTTAAGTAATGTTTTATAAAAGAAATTTTTAGTCTTGAATTTTAGGACGTTACAAGTTGGTATGAGAGCCTTGGTTTGAGGGATTCAGACATGCTCTCGGGTGTGTCTGAACTCAAACTGAGGAATTGGTATAAAGTTTTTCAAAATGAAAAGACAGATTGTAAAAGGAAAGTTTTGAGAAAGAAAACAGTTTTAGAAAAGCAAAAAGAATTCAGAAGGAAAAGAATTTTGATAAGAGAAAAGGGTGTGGTGCTTGCAATCAACCGAGCTCA